GTTGTACACGGAAATTAAATTATTGCAAGTAAATCTGGTGTTGACTACTTTGGTGACTTGCTCGTTTGCTTGCCATTGTACCCTGAAACTGCTGCTCATGACATTGATCACTGGTTTGGTTTGTGGGGAATTGAACCAGGTGTTCAGTTTGACGACCAATCACTTTAACCACTAGGCTACCACAGCCCTCACATAACTTGAACATTGCTGAGTCCACCATTGAAGAAAAGTTGGCATTGTTTTAATCTGATTTTGGCAATATCACAGGACGAGAAAGCAGAAATCTGGACAAGACAATCCAGAAATCAACAGCATGAACATCAATCTACACAACTGGGATACAATGACATGTGGCAACCCAGTTAGCAGGCCTGACCACCAGATCCCATTAGTCGCCACTTACGACAAGCATGAGTTACTGAAGATCAATGGACCTTCAAAGGCAGGGGAAGAGAGAATTCTGAAATTATACTTTCCTTTATAATTACTGAGAGTTGAACAATGGATAAAGATCAGTAATAAAGTTGTAGTGAAAATTTAAAGAACACTAACATTGTTTGAGTATACATGTACATATATATATGCGCAGAGTGTATAGTACCTTTATAGTACCATAACTGTCTTTCCTTGTTGTTTTATGCCTTATTCCAGCAACCTGTAAATAACTGAATCTGGACCAGAAAACAAGGCTATTATCTGAATAGATTCATGCCGTCAGCTCAGATGGCATCCGATCAACCAAGTCACCGAGTCTGGTCAACTCTTACAAACAACATACTTTCCTAGGGACCTATTCTAACTCAGAACCTGACTGTAAAAAATATGGATATTTCTAACATGCCCATAAAACAGAGACAATCCCTAACACTTTTGTACATGCAGAAAGGAATAGGCTATTATCTATCTCAATGAAGATGCAGGGCCCAAATGTCAATAATTACAACTGCTTATTATCCAGCTTTGGTGAAATGACATTTACTCGGTTTGATGATGGATAAAAATACTTGTGGAGTTAAGACACATATACTCAAAAGGATAGACATCTATTCCAAAAGGACAAACCTAAACATCTTTAATACAAGTGCACTGTGGCACACTTTCAAAATTGCGAAGAATGCAATGCACAAAATGACTGCAACAGGTTTTCCTGCAAGAAACATTTCAGCATATAAAAAGTTTTGTATAATACATACTTCTTGTGGAGAAACTCTTGCTTAGTTCTATCATAGATCTTTGGGGATGGAATAACTGGAACAAACATGTGCAATAACCAACGGCAACAGCAGAACAAACAACAGCACCAGCCTTAAACGACACTGCTGTAAATGGTTGTCCATTTCCTACTGTCATATAAAATGCAGGAGCGATTACCTCATTAAAGCTTATAGCAGTAAGCAATTACACTGATCAATACAGCGGTGTCCTCACATGAGATAAACAGGAACAGGTCAGCTTTAATCACAGGAAGCCTGACGCATTGTCTGTAATTCCATGATCTAAGAATGGCACCATATCACTACAGAGTTAGTGTCCATTATACTAACTGTCACTGGGATGTCATGTTTAACATTTACTTCATGTGGCACATAGGCAAGGTATGTGTTGTAATTACAATCTGGTCTTGTTTTACGAGTACTTCTATAATTATACAGATTTTGTAGACATTAACAGTCATCACAGTTAAGGCCTTTTTAGCACTTTTCAAAGTCCCTTCAACAATTTTATGGAACTGTAGAAACATATAACATATACATGGTTGGTCAGATGTGGGACTGACCATCAGAGGGAAAGAACTCTTAGCTACATCGCTGCACTGGGAAAGTTTTGCTTCGCAATGGAGATAAACACCCACTGTAATTGCAGGGTATTTCTATTATGTATTAGTTTCCTGTAAAATCATAACATGACAGCTTTTAGGCCTTTGTAGGGAAAATCACTGGCAATTTGGGCTTTTTCAAGGCCAAAACGAATTTAGGTCCTTTTAGGGTAAAATGTCCATTTCAGGCTTTTTTAAGCCTGTGCGAACCCTGTTGTAGGTTACAACAAATGTCAAATGACTTTTGCATCACAATAATGAATGCATATATCATATCAAATCACGATGAAAGGCTTGTACATTGCCTGTACATGTCATCAAAACTACAAGACTTCATGTAATCAAGTCAAACTCAACAGGAGTCATAACTGCAGTCGCAACTTTATCCACTTGTGTGAAGGCCAGAGCCTCAAAGAATTCTATATGATGTTATAACTAAAACATAAGCTTCCCTAACACAAGTCCATGCAGTAACTGTAAACTCTAATCAAAAATGATGGTAAGACTGGAATGTCATTCTCACAGAGAGCATTGACAAATAAAGACACTGCATCTATAACACACAAACACAGTTTCAAACCATATTGGGGCATCCCCAGGTTTTCCTCGACCGACAAAATTAGGGGTCCATACATGACTTTCACCTTCAAATTTCAAGGGTCCTCACAGGAGTGTGAGTGAGTGAGTGAGTATGGTTTTAAGCTGCTTTTAGCAATATTCCAACAATATCGCACCAGGGGACACCAGAAATGGGCTTCACATATTGTACCCATGTGTGGAATCGAACCCGGGTCTTTGGTCAGACGAGCAAACGCCTTAACCACTAAGCTACCCCACTGCCCCTGTCCTTACAAGATATATAAGGGCCCTTTTAACTAATGAAAAAGTATAGTTTACTGTACTATAAGATTTATTAATTACTTTAATTACAGAAACTTTATACTTTTTTTTGAATAGTTAATATTTTTGTGCATCCCTGGAGAAGAAATGTTCTGCATCCATTCTATACATTTGTGTGTATTGTATCACATTAAACCCTGATCCCCAAATGGATAAAAAGATGATGATCTAAAAAAAATTAAAAACCAGAAATGAAACTTCGATCGATTGATTTGTAGCAATGTTCCAACAACTTCACAAAGGGAGGATCCAGAATGGGCTTCACGCCTTACCCAATACATTGACTCAACAGTAAAACTACCACACAAGGAACAGCATTTCACAGAGCTCAGACTGCCAGATGACTCACTTATATCAGCAACAGCATTTCACAGACACCTCCTAAAGAGTCACCCACATCAGCAACAGCATTTCACAGACACCTCCTAAAGATTCACTTAGCCAAAGAAAAAAAAATGTTGTGGTTCCATTACACCTCTATAAAATTCAGGGTAGGTAGTAAAGTACAAACTAATGACAGATTTATCAGTGTGTAATTGTTTATTCAATCAAGCTTGAGACCTTCATGTCGACTTTCTCTATCAGACTGATGTCCATCGGTGCCGGGAAAATACAATGGTACCTGAAAGCTCTTTTTTATTCATACTGATTTTAAAAAATAGGGTCGGCACCTGAATTCAAGGACAGTTGAGTAATCTAAACCACAACATTTTTTTTAGGCCTTACTTCAGCAACAGCATTTCACAAACACTGCCTAAAGTCTCACTTACATCAGTAAAAGCATTTCAGACACTACATAAACAGTTACATATCCCAACACGAGCTGAATTCGACGTTCTGGTGATTTCGACGATTGCATTGCACGCGCTATATCGGGGGAGTACGTATGCGTGTGTGCGATCGGAGTGCACGTGAGAAGTTTTATTGACAATGGAAATCGGGAAGTAAAGTTATATAAAAAGCAAACAAACATCAATATTATTTACCCGAGATAGTTAATACCACTTCAGATGCAAAACCAGTTGCCTTTATAACAAAAAATAGCAAGCCAAAATTCAGTAAGATCAGTCGTCTGCTGGTGACAGGCAATATATAAATAGGAAGCCACGTGATCACAACACTCCCTCGCAGTGCAGAGCAAAAAGTATGGCTCATCGTCGAAAACCCATACAAAATACCCGGATGTTACGAGCGGCCACTGTTTCGCCGATATGATGTCATCAAAGCTATTTTTGTAGGAAATACTTGATATTTTTGTGTGACTGAAATAGATGAATATATCCTTTATCACTCGAGGTTAGTAAAACAAAAACTTTAAATGTAATTAGAGATAAAAATTACGTTTGTTGTCTTACATCGTCGAAAACTCCTGACACCGGCATATATCAGCAGCAACACTTCACAGACACTGCCTCAACACTCTATAATGTCAGATGCAGTGAGTTCATCATGATCCATGAATGCCATATACAGATACATCAAACTGTGGGTCAACACACTGACATAATCTGCCATTTGGTACAAGACGAGGATATATTTATGAAACATAGTAGATAAGAAGTTATAAGTTATGTATTACAACATTTTACCCTTATAGATTACAACTAAATTTATGACATAAACATAAAAAATAGCTGGTAGCAAGTGTGTAACATGTCAAACACAATCAAAATTTATCACATATTATGACAGGCTTTCTTTGAGAAAAAAAAAGCCACAAAATTCTAATGCACTGAATGATTTATACAAAAACGATTCCACACCTGTAATCGTAGATTAAGATTTGATACGTGGTCAGGGTATTCCAAAACCTCAAATTACAGTTACATGTAGGCTAATTATGGATTCTCGTCGATTGTAAAATTAGTGAGGCTATGATTGTTAAACGAAAGCATCTAGCAACACCAACACCTTAAAAGTGGGCGTGGCCATCAACGTGATTGCCAAATTATTCATGCGATCAATGAACAGAAAAGCGTCATCTAATGATTTAAAAAGAGGATAATCAAATAAATCGAACGAAACTAGTTGACAAACATAGTAACACATGCGGAACAGACAATTCCAGATATCCACAGGATTAGACATACCACAGGAATTAGCATCCACTTATTGAGTGATCAGCACAGGCAGTAGCGTCTCAATATTTCGTCCGGGCAACGGAATCGGGCACTTGTTTCACCAACTTACGATGCTATAGACGTCAGGTAACTATCTTTAGTATCAGGACCTGTTACCATATGTGTATTAAACATGTGAACGAGATGACGTACCACTCAATTACCTCAATATCATCAAATCCTGTGCGATGCACAAACACGTTTAGAAGCAACAACAACCTTAGCATCTGACGTCATTCCACTTCCGATTGCTAAAGGGAGGCTACTCATCTCGACAGATTTTCTGCTCACCATATCGGATCGCGGAGTAGTCGTTGAGCTCGCGTCGTATTCACTGAATGTTTTGTTTTGTATTGGTAAGATTGGTATCATATCTGATTTTTTTCCGGCATTCCAACCATTAAAAAACATATCTTAGGGAAATGAGGACTGTTTCCAATTACAAAACAAAAGAGTTTAGATCCACATTTTCACTTAAATTAATATACGACTCATACTTCACTCAGTTTTCTGGATCCGAAAAATAGAATCCAATCAGTCATAATTGGCGAACAAAATACTGGCTAACACAGGGCAAAGTAGAAGTCGATACACTGATGGGGAAAATGACCCCATGTTTACAATTGCGTTTGTTTTGTGGTCGAAATCAGTGAGAAAAATCACGTCACACCTATTCTCACGAAATGTGCACAATTTGTAATATTATGTGTGCCCGCATAAAAACAACACTTTTTTTTACTGATTTCACCTGTTCATTTCATGTTTATATTGGGCAACAGGCTTGGTAAGTACTCGAGACATAGAAATTGTTAATGATCTGTTATTCATGCGTGTGACGCAGGGTAAAAAGGTTAGTCAAAATCACCAAAATGTGCATGTCTCCAATGATAGTATAACATTTTGAGTGAATATTTCAAAGTAAATATTCATCCAGTGTGAACAAGACAGATTACATTTTCGACATAAGGTATTGTCCCTTTCGTCCATACCCAGAACATATACTTATATGGTTAAAAAAAATTCAGAATTTTGGTTTAATATGATATCTCCATAAATTGTAATCCACGTTACCTCATGAAAATGACCATATAATCATTTTTAAAATTATATGTATTTATTAGATTGTATGCCTTATTTACAGTTTTATGTTGGGACAAAACAATATCAATCTCACAGCCACTAAATTTCAGCCGATTTCTTCACAAGTTTAAAGTTGAAGAGATTTGTTTAAGGATGTAATCTTCGTTCTCTCCTTGACATCTGAATTTTGATAGTTTGAATTTGCGAACAGTAAATGATGTTCTAACAATAAAATGAATTATCATTTTAAAAATTTGAATTTTTTACCAGTTCCAGTTATCAGTTGGTGCACATTTCGTGAGAAAAGGTAGTCAGCGCCGATATTAACTACAATGCCTCACGATACCGTTGCATGTCAAGTTAGTAGGGTCGCAATCAGATACTGGGAACAATACCCACGTATGCCGCTGGAGGAGGCTAACGGATCGCGTTGTCTTGATCGCTGACTGGTTGAGATGTCAGCATTCAAAACTGTGTAAAGTTGGCCATGAGTGAGTCATTATTCGTGAAATTTCCACAGACTTACAAGTTAATTAACTATTGCAAGAATAATTTTATTTTGATATTTTGCAAACATCTTGGAAATCATCTTCAGCTACGTGTGCATAATTTTCTTTCATCTTTCCGTTGAATAGTCATCGATGATACCTGAGCACCATAAGTACAACGTAATTTTAATCTGTCCCATAGACAGCCATGTTCAATCTGATTGGTATGTCCAGCTGGGTACCGTTGTACAAATCAATCTAGCGCTAAGACTACCTTAAGTCTATGTTAAGGTATGGGAGTTACGGTCACCTTAGCGCTAAGACTACCTTAAGTCTATGTTAAGGTATGGGAGTTACGGTCACCTTAGTGCTAAGACTACCTTAAGTCTATGTTAAGGTATGGGAGTTACGGTCACCTTAGCACTAAGACTACCTTAAGTCTATGTTAAGGTATGGGAGTTACGGTCACCTTAGCACTAAGACTACCTTAAGTCTATGTTAAGGTATGGGAGTTACGGTCACCTTAGCACTAAGACTACCTTAAGTCTATGTTAAGGTATGGGAGTTACGGTCACCTTAGCACTAAGGCTACCTTAAGTCTATGTTAATGTGTGCAAGTTACGGTCACCTTAGCACTAAGACTACCTTAAGTCTATGTTAAGGTATGGGAGTTACGGTCACCTTAGCACTAAGACTACCTTAAGTCTATGTTAAGGTATGGGAGTTACGGTCACCTTAGCACTAAGGTACCTTAAGTCTATGTTAAGGTATGGGAGTTACGGTCACCTTAGCGCTAAGGCTACCTTAAGTCTATGTTAAGGTATGGGAGTTACGGTCACCTTAGCACTAAGGCTACCTTAAGTCTATGTTAAGGTGTGCAAGTTACGGTCACCTTAGCACTAAGACTACCTTAAGTCTATGTTAAGGTTTGGGAGTTACGGTCACCTTAGCACTAAGACAACCTTAAGTCTATGTTAAGGTATGGGAGTTACGGTCACCTTAGCTTAGCTTAAGTCTATACCTTATGGGAGTCGGTATGTTCTATGTTATGGGAGTTACGGTCACCTTAGCACTACCTTAAGTCTATGTTAAGGTATGGGAGTTACGGTCACTAAGACTACCTTAGCGCTAGGTTTGGGGAGTTACTACCTTAGCACTAAGACTACCTTAAGTCTATGTTAAGGTATGGGAGTTATGTTAAGCTACCCTAAGTATAAGGTATGGAGTTACGGTCACCTTAGCGCTAAGACAACCTTAAGTCTATGTTTAAGTCTATGTTAAGAGGTATGGGAGTTACGGTCACCTTAGCACTAAGGCTACCTTAAGTCTATGTTAAGGTATGGGAGTTACGGTCACCTTAGCACTAAGGCTACCTTAAGTCTATGTTAAGGTATGGGAGTTACGGTCACCTTAGCGCTAAGTCACCTACCTTAAGTCTATGTTACGGTCACCTTTAGCACTACCTTAAAGTCTATGTTAAGGTAGTTACGGTCACCTTAGCACTAAGACTACCTTAAGTCTATGTTAAGGTTTGGGAGTTACGGTCACCTTAGCGCTAAGACTACCTTAAGTCTATGTTAAGGTATGGGAGTTACGGTCACCTTAGCGCTAAAGCTACCTTAAGTCTATGTTAAGGTATGGGAGTTACGGTCACCTTAGCACTAAGACTACCTTAAGTCTATGTTAAGGTGTGGGAGTTACGGTCACCTTAGCGCTAAGACTACCTTAAGTCTATGTTAAGGTATGGGAGTTACGGTCACCTTAGCGCTGAGATCGCTTTGTACAACGGCACCGATATGTCTAATATATGTTGTTTAAATAGTTGCAGTTTTCTTAATAATGAAAGGAAAATTGATGATTCCCCAGCTGGTATTGACAAGTATTGAAAGCAATTCGACCGAAACTAAATTAAAGAATATTATTCTTGCAAGAGTTAATTAACATGCAAGTCTATGGGAATTTCACCAATGATGACTCACTTATGGCCAACTATATCGATACTCATGTCAATCACTCGATTTTCCGGTTCACACTCGATTATTTTAAGCCTCATGTAACAAACTGTCAGTCAGTCATGATTTGAGAGTGAGTGAGTGAGTTAGGTTTTACGCCGCACTCAGCAATATTCCAGCTACGTACATGGCGGCGGTCTGTAAATAATCGAGTCTGGACTAGACAATCCAGTGATCAACAGCATGAGCATCGATCTGCGCAACTGGGAACCGATGACATATGTCAACCAAGTCAGCGAGCCTGACCACCCGATCCCGTCAGTCGCCTCTTATGACAAGCATGGGTTACTGAAGATCAATATTCTAACCCGGATCTTCACGGTCCATGATTTGAGCGATCATGCAGACATACCAGTATACCTTCAGAGAATACTTATATGTCATATAACATGTGGTAACCAAGCCTATTGTACTTTGTTGTTTAACAGGCACTCAGCAATATTCCAGCTACTTTTGTATACGGCGGTAAGCATATTGTATGGCTGTATGACTTTACAATCAGACAGTTTTAACTTGCATGCAGAAACGATGGTCTGTCCATTGGATTGTTTGTTTGTTTGTTTGTTTGTTTGTTTGCTGATCAGTTATCGCCCTCAGCGATATTCCGGCTATATGATGCAGGTCTAAAAATAACTGAGTCTGGACCAGAAAATCCAGTGATTGACATCTTGAGCATCAATCTGCACAATTGGGTACGATAACATGCACCGACCTAATCAGCAGCTTCAACACGTAATCCCATTAGTTACCTGTTAAGACCAATTCTAACCTGGATCTGCACGTTCCGTTCACGGAAGGAAGGGCTGTAATTCTGGTGCATATTCTTCCTGTTTAATACTGTCATTTGTATAGGGACCATGAGCGCAGGCTGAAATGCCCTTGCAAAAATGGTAAGATATTTCGTTGTCGCAAACGGCCACAAATTGCCGAAAAGTGCGCCACTGTTCTTCGTCTTTGCGCTTGAACCAATTTGACATAAGCCCAATAAATATACATGACTCTATGTAATCTGTGTCAAAATGAGATCTTGTATATAGATTAAGAACCTATTTCGACACTGACAATGACTATAAAACAGCAGACAGGCATTATTATTCATAAACCATAAATTCCGATGAAGACACCAACCTGATGTATTTCAATAGTTGTTGCAAATGCTCTATTTCAAAATTAATCATTTTACATTGCTCAACATATTTCAACAATGCCTTTTAATGGCCATAAGTTTAATTGAACATTTAGTCCATATCCTTGCTAAATCATGTCCATGCATTCTATAGGATGCTATTTCAGTGGTAATGAATATCTATTTTAAGTGTTTATTATAAATATTAGCTGGTATTTCTGGCCGAATTACCTACTATATGTCATTTGTGAAAACAATTAGCAGAAAACCATTGAACAATACAGGTATTTATTTCATTATGTCTTTGTCTGCAAGGATATTGCTTTCATGAATATATGCAAATGAAACAATATCAGTTTCCAACATCTGTTTCATTTGGATATTGGATAGGAACACATTTCATCATATTGTTAAATGAAATGCTTCTGTTACCAAACATCTTCTGTATTTACATTTATTGGCACATCTGCTCTCGTGGCGTTCAAGAGTTACTTCCCTTAGCTGTGACAGGATCCACCCTTCTCCATAATTATGAT